CTGCGTGTTTGTGTCCGCAATGTCCGCAAGTTCATGCTAATTAATGTCGGATAGTGCAGTTGAGAATCAGTAATCACCAATGGCGTTTATTACCTCGACTGCTTTCTTAGGAAGTTACTTTCGTTGCTTGTGAGCGTTGTTTTTTGCATTAACAATTCATTGACAGGCAGTATATAGAGTTGTATGTATTTCTTTCCACATTGTTTACCGTGTTTTAACCTCTTTCGACCGCGCAGCGCATTGAATCAAGCATAATCGATGAGAAATTTCTTTTCCGCTTTGTTTTCCTCTATATATTTCTACAACAATGACATCCAGTGTGTTGTGTGTTCAAATGCATTAAATAATTAAATTTTTATTACGGCGAAATGCTTTTGATAAACGAACTTTCCGGTTAATTAAATTAAATGCTGCACTCTGGTGGGAAAAATATCAACTATTTGAGTAATAGCTTTAAAATGTATTATTTAACCGTTTTTTCGTTTTCTTTGTGATTAGTAAGAAAATGTAATTAACATATCAAGACTGACGATCAAATATTACTGAAATAATGAGCGTTCTTTTTTCCTTTTGCATTCTTGCACTCGTTGCGAATTCCACGACGCGAAATTTTGCAACACGTCAAAGTGTTCCGAGTTGTCGTCTGTCGTAAAGCACCGTTAGCAAGTTTCGAGTGTGGAAAGCGACTTGTTTGTGAAATCCCGCCGCCTAAAATGTTAAAAACTTTATTAAAAAGGCGGTCATTATGCGATAATATCTCAACTTTTATAGTACTGTTTTCGGGTTTGTCGAATGTATGTGACACACTATACACACTGTCATATGTTTAGTTACAATGTTAAAACATAAAATAAAACGCTGATTTTCTATTAAATTAAGCTTGATTTAGCATTAAAACGCAGCGCATTTTCATTTTATTCTATTCATGTGTATGATGCACTTACTATTTTCTATTTTCTCGGCGTAGCTGTCGCATCACATAAGAAATCTTGAACTTTTCTGCTTTATTTTCTTGTTAGTGACTCTTACTTACCATGTGATGGTGTGATCCTGAGTGTTGCCGTCGGTGATCTGTGATCTGTTCTACTTTGCTCTGATTTCGTCTGCCTTTTTCACTCCACATTCACTCTTCCGCGTCTTGTGGCGGTTGCTTCACTCTCTCGCATCGTTTGTGTCGCTTGTGACTCCTCGGGCGTATTCAAGCGTTCGACTTTATGCTACTTTATTTTTCCGTGCAACCTGTAACTATGTTGCTTTCGATAAATTAATGATGTCTATGGAAACATATTACTAACGCCAGCAATCTGGTTCTGATATCGGATGGAAGTTTCACACCTGCGCATGAATAACCACAATGTGGGGGTTAAATTTGAATCGTGCAAGATTAGGTTGCATACATTAAATATTTTAAGCATTTTTAATTTTTATAAAACAAATACTGTTAAATTACACAATAAAGTAATAGTTTTTGATTTGTTAAATTTGTTTTTGTTACCAGAAGCATAATTAACTATTGAAAAATCGAAAATTTTCCAAAATAAACAATTTTTCTTGATGCAGTTATGTCGTTTGACACTGGACACGCATGCGCATTGAGTGTTTAATTATTTGACATTTGATTTCTAACCTATAGTCAACCCTAACAGCAAATCTTGCTTATTAACATAAATTACATCAATTTCGTCATTTATTAATAAGAGGATACTCATTCTTCAGCTGAATTTGAATACCATCAAATAACAAGGTAATTTTCTAACGATGTCAAACAATAAATTGACATATTTTGTTTTCTATATAATATACGCAATAAATTTACGATGAAAACAATAAAATTACTTACTTTTTAACCAATATTGCCGTAGAAAACATTGCAAAACTGAAAACGCAGGATAAAACCACTTATGACATCGAATATCAGACATAAAATCAATGTTGTGGAAATAATTGAGGAAACGCACGATTGCAAGCACCGAGGAAGTACAAAACTACAGACCTCGCATATATTCCACGAATAATCATCAATTTGAGATTTAATCTTTGATTTTCATCGGAATGAACTTAAACATCGTGCATACGTACCAACATACATTCCAAGTTCCTAGGAATTATACGCACTTATTGATAGATATTTTGCTATGAATAATATTCCCACAAAACTCTTACATCGATATTCTAAGAGTCAAAATAGTCTGTAATCATCATGTGTGTGTGTTATAATTACACTTATTTGCAATACTTATAATACGCACGTTGTAACGATGAGAAAAAGTGTTTAACTCGTAATTATATTTCGGATATTTGCATTTAAAGATTTCCAATGAGAGTAAAACTTGTTTTTGCGTTTTACGCCTTGTCGTAATTATAATCTTTGTATTGCTAAGTATGCTAAAGTACCGAGAAGCGTTAAGAATTATATCGAATGAGTTACGTCGCATGTGTTCTTGAGACTCAGGCGTTAGGTTTGTGCTGATTAGTGATTTGAAGGAGCGTGAGAAATTCTTGTTTTCTTCGGCGATAGGCGTATTTTCACCTATTATGGATGGTATGGATGTTAAGTTGGAATGTGAATGCAAATCAAACGTTTTTATTGCGCTTTTTTTGGTCATAGTAATCTTATTTGGATGCTTTCATCATGTTATAAAGCAAGAGATTAAAAAAAGTTTATTGCAATCGTTTTGTCTGTTCATAAATAACCGCAAATTGAAATAATCATTTCAAATAATGAATCGGAAGATAAAATTAATTTAAAAAATAATTTTTAGTTAAATCTTTGCTTTTAAAAATGAAATTCGTTTTTGCTTTCTTGTTCAATTCTATCAATAAGATTCGCAATTTTAATTTAAAGAAATTAATTATATAAAGAATTGCTAATAATGCACTTCAGCGCGCCATCTCGGATTCAACTATTTAACTATAACTATGATTGATTCTCAATGCCAACTTTTATCCTATAGAAAAGGGCTGGCTTTAGGATTTTCCCGCAATTATTTGAATTTTTCTCGCCGCTAAAACCATCCTTGGACTTTAACGAACATTTAAAAAAATAATTGGCCAAATTAGTCCAGGCGTTGTTGAGTTATGCGCATACCAACAGATTTTGCGAATCATTTTTATATAATAGACGATAAAAAATTCAAGTAAAATAATAAATTAATTAATTAAATAAAAATACAACTAAAAAATCTCTTGTTATTGTTTTTTGCCAATATTTCAACTAATGTGCTGTCTACTCGAACAGAAACCGCCATAATCCAAACGAAAACTAAAACTAAAAGTAAAAAAACAACAACAGTAATAAATATTTATGTCGGTAAGTAAATAGGTCGGTCTTAATATCCACGGCGCGCCGCCATGCTTGACAATTTCGCAGAGCAACAAGACTTGCACTCCTGCCCAAAAGAGCTTCGCAGAACCTTGCGAGACGCATCAGTAACGCCTCGCCGAGCAGGCACGAAAACTTTGAGCAAATCCAACAAACAACCACACGAATTCCATTGTCTTCTTCGATACAAGCATCTGAATGCATTATTTAACCAGCATTACACTCAACTAGCACTAAACGTTCCATAGAACAAGAAAAAATAGCATAATTTAAATATAAATACAAAAATATTCAATTTTCAAGCACTGACATAAATTTCTACATATTATTATTATTATTATTATGATAATATAATTGTAATGTGCTCGTTTTTCATGTGGATATCTTTAAATTTCGTAATTATAAATTATATTTATGTTTGTATCTAGACCTGAGATGAAAAAAACGTAGTATAATGTAAATAATTGCGATTTTTGTTGCAATTCAACGACCGATTCCATGTTAATTAAGAACGACGATGGATTGCCGTGTCGCAAGAGTAAAAGACTATAACGGATAGCACGAAACTAGGGAGTAGATGGATGGCTGCAATTGCGGCACTCTCACTGCCAGACAAAATTGGATATAAATTGCGTCTAATCGATGCTCGCAGCCAGCCAACGATCTTGACTTATATTGAACAAGTATTGCGGTGCTGTGAGTTATTGTTTTTGCTCAATTTGTGCATAATTTACATTTGTATTTCATCATTAACTCAAAAAACAACCAAACATGCGTAAAATATTAGAATGCAACCCAATATACACCTTTGTCAGACCTACGTCTAATTATTTTATTAAATTAATTTAAATGCGTGTTAATTAAAGGTGAAAACAAACGCATTGGTCAAATTTGCATGTTGTAAAAGTATGTTAAAGAAAGCAAAGTTAACATTCTCATAATGTGCGTAAATTTAATTCCATAATGTCCAAATCCATTTGTAGAACATTAAAAAATGTAAATGTATTAATTTGAATTTGAATATGCATTTGAATGTTGAAGAGGCGTGCGGCGAAAGAGAAATTTGATTGTTTCCGAAAACTAGAAGAAGCGCTAATTACTCGTAAACGCGATTTTTCGCACTTTAATAATTAAGACAACTTTCAGTTTCTGTCGATGCTTCGTAATGCGCTACAAAGAAGCAGAAAAACAACGAAATCGAAAACGTGTGAGAAATAATCTCAAATAAAACACTAAAAAACATTTAAGAGTCGTTTAATGCAACTTTTTCGCTTTGTTTTCGGCTGTAATATAAGTTATTATGAGCAAATAAATTACGCGCTGCGTCGTGATTTTACTTTCATTGCGTTGGCTGCGGTTGTTTGTTATTAATTAGTTTGTTTATATTTTTCATGTAGCTATTAGACGACAGGATGTCTTCAATTGCAAATGCAATTGCTTGGGCAATGATATAAATTCCCATCGTGTCTATTTTTTGCTTGTACATTTGTAAAAACAAAAAATAAACAAAATGGCGAAACACGTCGTGCACATCCGTTATGTTATATTATGTCTTAATTCTACAACTAATTGTTGTTTTTGCAATGCAAATAAGCAAATTTTTTGCTTTTAAACATAACCTAAGTTATTTTACTACTAGCGCCATCTATTAATGATTTTTTAAATTTTTTCATTTCAGGATGTCAGTTTTATCCGCCCGGAGAATATCTGCGCTTCGTACGCGTCCCAGAAAACTTGAAAGTCGGTGAAGAGGTCCTCAAGGTGGAAGTCCATCCAAGGAAAAACCTCAGCCTTAAACCGGTGGACAAAGTAATGGCTTTCCTTCAACACCTCGTATTTTGACACAAATCCTCAATTTATTACACTTCTAAACCTCTTTTCAAGTCCCGCCGCACTCGCACTCAACTGCAACGCTCAATTTCACATCGCCATCTTCTCTCATTTCCCGTTTTATCGACGCCTGGAATAATTTATTTTTACATCTTATTGGCGACCCTTTCTTATACGTCCTCCCAGACTCAAGTAGTGCTTGTTAACCCGACCTGTTACGTTTATGATCTCGGCGGCTGTGCGTGTAATGCGTGGCGTGCTTGTTTTGCAGGATGAGGACGTCGGCTACTTCGCGTTCAGGGAGATTAATCAGACGACGGTCTCGCTGCGATTGGCACGATCGCTCGAGGAGCTGGTCGATACGGACAATCCGCAGAACGTGCTCAAGTTTCGTCTCGCATGCGAGTTCAACGATGGCGAAGATGTGGTAACTTCAGAAAAATGTTTATTACGTACACAAACAATCAGAATATGCACATGAAGTGAAAAGTTTGATATGGGTTGTGAAGTGTATTTGACAGAACAACTAGGCAACTCAATATACACCCACAAATGACAAACAACTTGGAAATAATAGATTTTCAGTGATTAATCAAGAAAAAAAACTAAAATTTATAATCTACACAATCATGGAATGAAAAGTTTGAATTGGTTCATGAAGTATGCTTGACTCAACAGCTAGGCAACCCAACATACACTTAAAAATAACTAATTTTCAGTAACTTACCAGCAAAAACACTAAAATTATAAGAATAACTAACATGAATATCATAGGAAAAAAATTTACTTTCAATTACTTTCAAATTTATTGATTTATTAATGATTAGATACCCATTAATTTTATTAGCAACTTATTTTTACGTAACACATGTGTGAAATAGGGAAATAATGAGTTACATGCTCATTTCTGAATTAAAATTGCAAAACTCATAATTATTGTACCATCACTTGAATCGAGGAAGAAATTGATGAATTGAGCCGTGATATAAATTATCATTGCAATCATTATTAGCTAACACTTTAACCTCTTACAAATTACCATTACAAAAATCAATTTACTATTTACTCTCAAATTATTCCTTAAATATGTTTTGATTGCTTTGAGATTCGAAATCGCCTTGAAAATTTTCAATTTTTTTATTAACCATCAATTGCTTTGAATGTATGAATATAAATTGCGTGTCTTTCACCATGTGGCACCCAACTGTTTGCTTCAGATATGCATTTTTTGCGGCATTCCGTGCGTGCGTTAAGCAATTCGCATCGGATTAGCAGCCGTAACGAATTACACAAAGCGCATAACGCATTCGCGCTGGATGAATTAATGTAACCGTTTGTTTTGTCGCTTTGTCGCAGATATCATCGTCGCTGTCGATCACGGTTTATGTTGAGGATATTAATGACCATGCGCCGGTTTTCGAAAATGCACCGTATTCGATTACCGTTGATGAGTTAACACCTGCTGGTAATATTAATATCATAAGCCATCCTGTTTTTTAAATATTATTACATGTTTATATATGTTTTAATAATAGGATTGACAATATTTCGAGGGATTAAAGCACTGGACAGAGACAAACCAAACACACCTAACTCCGATGTGCAATATGCGATAACAGCTGGAAATGAACGAGGGAAATTCGCTTTGGACAGCAGTCATCAAGCTCTACTCATGCTCGAAAAGGGGTTGGACTATGATAATGGTGATCGGGAATTTACTCTCACAATTACAGCATCTGTAAGTTCATAATATTTGATATAATAGGTCTTTGACACGTTTTACTTACCTAATAGCTTTTCCCGTAACATAACCATCGTAGTTTTTAGTAAATTGAATTAATTTTTTACTTGGGTTATAAGATTTGCTATTTTATTAAAAACTAGTTTTGCCCGCGACTTCGTCCCGGTAGTGTTTAATAAAAATGTAATTCGTTTTTACTCTCTTGTTCTAGACATAGTATGTGTCAATTCTATCAATAAGATTCGCAATTTTATTTTAAAGATATTAATTATATAAAGAATAGCTAATAATGAACTTCAGTGCGCCATCTCGGATTCAACTATTTAACTATAACTATGATTGAATGTCAATAGCAACTTTTATCCTGCCGAAAAGTGCTGTCTTTAGGGTCATAGCAATCGAAATAGTTGTAAAGTGTTATAAACCGCCGACAGAAAGTCAGGTGTTCATACATATTATTTTTCCATTAAACTATGGTAAACTCTATGGATGTTTTAACTGCAATACTTTCATTGAATAAATTTTATTTTCATATTTTTTCTATATAAGTTGAATATAATTAAATTCAAAATACATTGGTGGCGTTTATATCAATTGGCGCGTTGCAAGAGTAGAAACACGTTGTAAAAAAACTGTAAATACTCATACGAACAAAGCTTAAAAGAAATATAAAATAAATTATTTATTAATGTACAACGAACAGGTAATATTCTCTTTTTGTGCCAGGTATTTAAATTTTTATAAATCGCGAGTTTCAAATCAGCACGGATGCACAATAACTGATACCTATCAATTTCTAAAGAATTCATAAAACATGTTTTATTCATTTTCACATTTATTTCTCTAGGTGGGTAAGAAATAACAGCAAAATACTATAGGTTTGATGGGATTATTTAGTTCTAAAATCTAGACACAAAAATATTATTTTTATTATTCCCTAGTTTTTGCCCGCGATTTTGTCCTGGTAGTGTTTAATAAAAATGTAATTTGATTTTACTCTCTTGTTCTAGACATAGTATGTGTCAATTCTATCAATAAGATTCGCAATTTTATTTTCAAGATATTAATTATATAAAGAATAGCTAATAATGCACTTCAGCCCGCCATCTCGGATTCAACTATTTAACTATTACTATGATTGAATCTCAATAGCAACTTTTATTCTGCCGAAAAGTGCTGTCTTTATGGTTTTCCCGGCAATTATTCGAATTTTTCTTGCTGTAAAAACCATCCTTGGACTTAAACAAACAGTTTAAAAAAATAATTGGCCAAATTGGTTCAAGCGTTGTTGAGTTATGCGCTTACCAACAGATTTTGCGATTCATTATTATATTATAGATAATAGAGGGTAATAATACGCAATAGCGCCATCTATAATTTAATTATTCAGCCATAACTCTGATTGAATTTCCATACAACCTTTAATCCTTGATTTTACACTCTTTACGTCATTATTTTTGATATTTTAATAATTATTCCGATATTAAAGTCAAAAACAAATCTAATAAATCATAGATCATCAAAATCTGTCGAGTCGTTTTTGAGTTATACATGTTGTAACTAACGCGAGTGTGTTTTATAGATAACTTTGATTTATTTACCTTATTTATTCCTCTTTGTTGATGCACAATAGCTAGAAAGCGTAATTGATTATGATCACCGGAAAAAAATGCAGGAAACACAATAAAATGCAAAATGTAATGCATACGCCATGCTATAGTTACACATCGCTAGATTTATGCACCAAGGAAACAAAATTCTCATTTCTACGGAAACAATATTCATGCAAAATAAAATTAAATCATGTCTTTTGATTTTATTTGAAGGATCGTGGTTTACCACCAAGAAGTACATCGACTACAATAAAAATCGTAGTTCTGGACAATGATGACTTAAGCCCGAAGTTCACCAAAGGCGTCTATCGCACCCGAGTAACAGAAAACTATCCGATCACGGTGAGTGATTTATTTATTACGGATTGCGCATTACAATTGATTCTCATTTGTTTGCAAATTCACCTGCTACCAACGTTGTAAGATTTCCATTTAATGTTGATGCTTTCTTTCTTGAGCGCGTACCCGCGCTGAAATGAGATATTATTAAGTCGGTTACGATCGAGTGCTGCGGAAAGTGCAATGCGCCCGTGCGGTCTGTTGAACGCGCGCGCGCGCCTCGCGATATTACAACAATTAATCGTTTCGACTTTCCCTAAAATGAACCGCCATTACTGCCATGCGGCTGTAGTGTGCAATTGTGCATTTTTATCGAGAAAACGAAGTCGGAAACGGCGTACACATTTTCACATTCTTTCTACAATGGAAACAACTTGGAAATAACCTCAAACAAACACTTTGAGACGCATTTAGGTTATTGACGTGCAAAAAAAGTTGCCTACAAAATATATCAATCAACATTTTTCATAAATTTTTAGATTATTTTATAAAATTAAGTTTCTTATGCTTGGATCATGTTGAAAATGTTTTATTACAACAGATTCTTGTTTTAAAACGTTATTTATTATAAAAAAAATGTGTGTACAGTTTTAACGTTTCATAACGTTCAGTTATTGAAGAAGAAACCCGCATTACACGGTCACGGATAATTAAGTAATGCGCTTTAACATGACTTGACGTAACCAGAGTTACATTTACTTAATAGGTTAACCTTGCGGCAGGTTATGTTCTTTTGTTCAAGACAGTTATCCGAAACTTTAGCTGTACATGCGTAGTTTCCATGTCAAATTTACACAAATTCTTATTCCTACAACAATACAACATTTTTAACTGTTTTTATTTAATACAGGGTGAAAAATTACATTACCGCTTACATTTCGAACCAAAAATCTTTGCCTACGATCAAGATTTAGCGATTGACAGTGAAATCCGCTATGATATTATTGCCGGTAATGAACGACGCATGTTTTACTTGGATTCAAACAATGGATCACTCTACCTCCAACGTGAAATTGACTTAGAATCGGAGAAATCCTTACCTGGGAATACATTCGTGCTACAAATCCAAGCAACCCAGTTGGATAACCCTCTTAAAACAGGCGTAGCACGTGTTGAGGTCGAAGTGATGGATCTGAATGACAACCTTCCTGAATTTGAAGCGGATATCTATAATATAAGCATCGTAGAAAATCTCCCGAATGGATTTTCTGTATTGCAAATTGTCGCGCATGATCAGGATCAAGGAGATAACGCTGAGTTTAGTTTCCAGCTGGAAGATAAAAGCAAAGCGTTTGTTTTGGATAGCAAAACCGGCTGGTTATCTGTAAGAAAATGTGGTTATGTTGATTTTTATAAAAATTAATGTTTTTAAATATTTAGGTCCGAGATCAATCTGTGTTGGACCGTGAAAGAAGAACTGCTTTAACAATGCGTGTCTACGCTATTGAAAAGAACCCTTCAGTGGTAACAGATCGTGACGCAGCGTCCTATGTCAATGTTGAAGTAACCCTCTTAGATGCAAACGATAATAACCCAACCTTTATCCCTAATAACATATATGACTTTGTACTTGGTAGTGAGACAAGGGTACATGACCCAATTGGGAAGGTCCACGCTATTGATCCCGACCTTGGTCGTAATGGCCTTGTTCATTATCATATTCAAAAGTCAGCGAATGCATCGTATCCGTTTAAAATTGATCTAAAAACAGGGTTATTAACAGTGGCATCTCCGAAATCCATCACTGTTGGTAGACATTTGTTGTTTGTTGAAGCTTCTGATCAACCCTTGAATCCTTCTGAAAGGCGTTCAGCTTTAGCAGTGGTTACCATTGATGTAATCAATAATAAAACCAGTAAAAATCTACCTAACTTTGTAGGAGCTCCTTATGAGTTTTGGGTTGGGGGAAATGTTGATATTGGTACCAGTGTAGGACAGATAAGGGTTACAAATGTTGATAATCGTAGTGGGTTGTTATATGACCTGCTTCATAGTTACCATGAAGGTGTACCATTTGCTGTTGAGGAAAGATCTGGAACGATTACTGTTATAGAAAATTTGAAGAAATATGAAAGGGTTTTGTATGATTTTGAAGGTGTGGTTTCAAATGATAAGGATTTGTCTATTGTTACCAATGTCACAGTACACGTGGTAGATCCCAAGGATAAAAATCTCTTTCTAAAGTAAGTTTATTAATTTTAGGTTAGTTTTCACACCTTAAAGTATATTTTTATTATTTAGGGGTACATCATCTCCAATTGAATTCCACGTAAAGGAAAACCATGCTAATACATTCATAGGAAGACTTATGCCCAATATGACCACCAGGGACCTAAGAGATCTTAAATTCTTCATTGCAAACCAGAGAGATGTCACCGATCACATCGCAATCTACTCCAATGGTACCCTTTACACCCAACAAGCTCTAGACCGTGAAAAACGGGATACCTACAGACTTACCATCATCGCCGAACCCAAACGAGGTGCTACCTCAGGTGCGGGTATATACCAAGCTGTTATAATAGTAGATGACGAGAATGACAACGCACCACAATTTGATAAGAGTGTTTATGAAGGACACATAAAAGAAAACTCTGCAACTGGTACAGAAGTCAATATGAACTTCCCAATACATGTCCAAGATGCTGATGTTGGATCTAACGGACAATTTTCTCTCACACTCCAAGGTGAAGGAAGCGAAAAGTTCCGTTTTGATCGATTCAACGGTAAAGTACACTACAATGGTGTCCATTTTACACTGGACAGGGAAGATAAATCTGTTTACAATCTACGTTTGGTTGCCAAGGATAAAGGTGGTCTTAAAAATGAGTCCCAGTTGATTATACACATAGAAGATGAAAATGACAACCCACCTGTCTTCCATCAATTGATAGTCGCACCAAATCGCAATGTAAAAGTACAAGAATACGACGAAAGTGGGAACAAGTTAGCCTACCAGGAAGACACCACAACTGGTGTCTACTCTTTAAGTGGAGTACAAATATCTTCTGGGAAGTCCCGAATTAAAAACAGGACAAAAATATCTCCGATTATTTTGGTACCTGAAGACTTACAAGTTGGTACCCCGGTGTTGAAACTCCTAGCTGTTGATAAAGACGCTGGAGAAAACGCGCTACTAAAATATGAAATGTTATCAGAGACTTATATTCCTAACGAGTTGAATAATGACCCATTTCATGTGACACAATACTTTAGTGTTAACCCATCAACTGGTGAGATAATCGTATCAAGGACATTACCACCAGAGTCAGAATTTCGCATTAATTTAACCGCTACAGATAAAGGTGGTTTAAGAGACTTCATAAAAGTACGAATACTAGTTGAGGATGTAAATGATCATCCGCCAGTGTTCAAGAAATCATGGTACAACTTTGATGCGGAGGAAGCTTTGTATTCAAGGAATATCCTAGGGAAAATTGAAGCTACCGATGGAGATTTCGGACAAAATGCTAATATTTCCTATAAATTGAAACAAATCACCCAAGGAGATTCATTACCGTTTAAAATATCTGAGTTTAGTGGCGTGCTTAGTGTTGATGGTGAACTGGACAGAGAATCACAGGATAAATACACTTTTATGGTTGTGGCTAAAGATAACCCTCACACTGGACAATCATTCAGTACTACTGTGAATGTTGAAGTCAACGTAATCGATGTCAATGATAATCCCCCAACATTCTATGGTTATGATGATTTGATCAATCTGAAAACAGAGACTAAATATAGTAATCATCAAATTGTGTCTGCGAAGTTACCTGTGTATTATGCTACTATTTCGGAGAATAGTCCAATAGGTACACCGATTACAAGAGTCTTTGCAAATGACTCCGATTTTATGGGTAATGGTAATGGATTGCTCCTGTTTGACATCCCGTATAAACGTAATCGTGAAAATCTATTCGCCATTGATTCTAAGGAAGGTGTTGTTACTACAATTGGACATTTAGACTACGAAAGACAAAAATCTCATAATATTACAATTGTTGCATCGGATTTAGGTTCGCCAAGTTTAAGTTCAAGTGCGTTATTAATCGTCACCGTCATTGATGTTGCTGAAGATCTTAAAGCAATTGAACAACCTGTGTTTGCACATCGATATTACGAAGTTGAAGTTGAAGAAAATGTTCCGGTACCACTAAAAATTCTAAATTTGAATGTTACTGAAAGTTACAAGCAACACAAATTGAGATATAGTATTGTCGCTGAAAAGGGCAGTGATGTACGAAGGATGTTTAAAATTGACGCAAGAAATGGTACTTTGTATATTGTTGAATCACCTGATAGAGAAATGGGAGCTTATTATGAGTTGAAAATACGATTGGATCAGTACAAAGTAGGAAGGGATATGACTGTCATGGTGTACCCTGTGACAAATGAAAGATTAGGTGATTTAGGTGAGTGTATTAGATGTTATTGATTTAGTTTTGCCTAGACAGACAAACATATCAATTGATTTTTACGACTTTTGCTTGTTTTTGTAACTTATGTATTTCTAACCTATAAATACTCGAAGGATTAAATGAAGTCAAAGTAATCGTGAGAATATCGGATGTGAACGACAACGTTCCCAAGTTTACCATCAGTGGCAGACCAATCGTGGCAGCTATTCCTACAACAGCCAATTTTGGATATCATATTATTCAATTACAAGTAATACATACATAACCTTATTTCTATCAAAATGTTTATGTAATTATTTTATAGGCAATTGATCCTGACCTGGCGTTAAATGGTGAAGTGCGTTATCAAATTTTGGGCAGAGGTGATGATGAGACACGTCGGTTTGCGATTGATCCCATTACGGGTCAAGTTCGGGCCATTGCTAGTTTTGCGAGGGATGCTGGGAAAGTGTTTGGGTTTGATGTGAAAGCCACTGATCGGAGAGGTGCTGATGATGGTGCTTCATCAATTGCAAATGTTTTTGTAAGTAAAAAAACTTTTAAAATTCATAATAACTCAACATACCCTAAAATAACCTCAAAATTATATTTCAGGTTTATGTCCTGGACGAAGAAAAGCAACTAGTGATGGTTATGGGTTCAAAACCAACAGAAATTGAGAAGAATATGGATAACATCACTTTGTACGCTTAAAAATATTTACATAATCTTAAAAAATGATTAAATTGTTGATTTTTAGGGCTTTATTCAACGCAACTGGATATGATGTGCGCGTGCGTAAACTAGAACCTCATTTTGATAGAAACCAAATAGATAATTCAGCGTAAGTAAACATATCTTAAATAAATCTCGAGGAAAACTTAGTTTTTCAATTTCCAGAACGGATATGTATCTATACGCAGTGGATCCGAAGTTGAACACAGTCGTCGACATGGCGGAACTGCAAGAGTAAGTTTGCGGCAATTTGTCGCGTCGTAAACGCGTGGTGTTTATGGCCGTACATTTCCTAATTTCAATTCGCAGAGCAATTCTGAATAAACAGCCGGATATTGAGAAGCAACTGCGCGGGCATAAAGTCCTCGCGCTTGCAAGCGGGGCGATCGAACGCATTCGTTTCCGGAGCCAGCGTGTTATCCTTTCAACGCTGGAGGTCGGCGTCGTTGTCCTCGGCTGCGTCGTCTTCATCGGCGCACTTGCCACTGCCATCTGTGTTATTTGTATTCGACGCAAGAAAAATCGGTAAACATTTGATTTTCGTGCACATTTTGCACTTTCTATACTTACTAATTGTTTGGTATTTTGTTTAACTATATTTTTAACCAATGCACTTTAGTATTAGTCCTGTATTCGGTTGTTTGTTCTTGGTCTTGCATGTGAGTAGCCTGCTGCAGAAGAGTTTCTCACACGGACGTCAACTCGGTTTCCCGATAGCTACCCTTGGCAAACCGAGCGCACTCTTTCCGAGCGCATATTCGGACGGCGGCGGGGGCGGCGCGCCCACACACTACACCGCCGAGAGCACGGATGCAGGCGCGCCTCGTACTGCTTTCCATCGACATCATCATCAGCAGCAGCATCACCATCACGATGCTAACTGCCCGCGCTATTCGGCGCGCTTCGCCAAAGAGCGCTCACGCTCTCTTGGAGCTATGGAGACATCCATCGCGTCTCTACACTCAAGTGGAAAGGATTCGGGCATTGCGGATGGCATACAATGTCAATGCGGGTTATCAACGAGTCATTCATCTGGTGAAAGCAGCAAGTAAGGATTAAAAATGAAATAAAACAACATAACCTCAAAATATTTAGTTAGGCAACTTATTTTGCATATAATTTTTTTAAATTTTTCGCAGCGGTTATGAAGATTCACTCCAATCAATCACGCCGAGAAAATTCCGCGAATCGTTGCGCTACGAATCGTCGAACGAGATCCGCAATTACTACAATCGTCGGCGCTCATTGTCCGACGAGTTGATGCTGAACGTGTCGGGGGCGGCAGCGGCGAGCCACCACCTCAAGCCGCTGCATCGCATCCACTCGCACACGCATCTCAATCAGAATCCGGCGTTCCGCAAGTCGAGCGAAAGACTCATAATGACGTGCCCGTTGAATCCGTGAGCGGCGATAAATCACGCCACAGACTTTTGAATAATTTAACGTTCATTTGTGAATCGAGAGTTACCAATTTATTTAAAACACATAATGCATGTATATTTTATTCTACATTATTTATAAGATGTATATTATGTATTACAAACCTTTTAAAATTTAGCGTTTAGTTATCATCATCATGCAAATATTTATTTTTATTGTTTTTGTGTCATTTTGTGCAATAATAATTAGGCAACACGTAATACTCAACACAAACTAACCAAAATGTTTATTTTATATCGAATTATGTTTTAATAAACTTTTTTATAATATAATTTTATACAAAAACACTAAAAAACGATTTTTTTTAATTTTTAGGTTAGAATATCAACTTTCATGTTCAAAACATGACATAACCTATTCTTAAATTTTAAATAAACTTATATTTCTCTTAGTAAATTGCAGTAGAAATTAAAAAAGAAGTTATGTTTGCATTTTTCATCTTCTGACCAAATTACATTTCGTCAAGTCTTTGATCTTCTATATAAAAACGTAAAAACTAGAAAACGGCAGTGAAAAAACCACCCCTTGATGTTGCAATTCAAATTCAACTTCGGTGAGCAAATTTCCTGTAGCAGGAAAAGATATTTAGATGCTACTCAATTTTTTACTTTGATACATTAAAATATAATCAAGTTGATATTATTAAAGAAAAACATTCAACGTAATATTTTTCTTGAGGATTTTTGTGAAAATCCCTTCAATAAATATGCGGAAGGGTCCTTCTGATAAAAGATGTTTGCATCTTTTCCCAATGTAATCCTGTGCAATGAATTGCTTTTATTAGCTTGTGCTCGAGAGTCCTTGCAAGATGGCGAGTGTCAGGACGAAAACCTTGTGAATTCATCGAAGCATAAATTTACTACAAATTGAATTACTTTTAAAATATATTCAAGTATCAAATCAATAATTATAATTAATTAAAAATTATTTTAATTTAATTTTAAAATTTACTTATTTTTTGTGTAAAAATATTTTATTTAAATAGTAATAGTTTAGTTGTGCGTATAAAATACTGAGCGCAGACTCAGGAAGCGCGCGTCGCTCTGAGCTCCCAAGCGTCGCGACGCTGGAACCAAGCGTTCACAACCCTTCGAACGCCGGCCGCCGCCGGTCGTCTCCGCAACTCGCGCAAAGTTCCCGCACGACGCGTACAGTTCGCAAACTTTTCGGAAACTTTAGCGAAGTGTTTCGCGATGCCCCCGCGCTGATAATCGCCTCGCCGATGGCCGACGTGGACGAGCTGCTGGCCCCAGACCTTCTCCTCGCCTTTCGCGACGTCGCGGACCCCAACCGCACCGCCATGCTGTCGGTGGAGTACCTGGGCAACCTCATCGAGGTGGTGAACACCGCGCACACCGAAAGCAGCGTCGGTGGTGCCTCGTCCTACGAAATCGGTGTGCGTACCAATGGCGGCGTGGCGACATTTCTCGCTTCCGGTATCAACGCGTCCATCGCGATTAACACCAGCGATGCAGCTTTTGTACCGGAGATGTTCTATCGGCACTCAATGGCGATGACGGCTGTCTACTGTGTTGCCTACTTTCTGGTGTTTGCTGTTGGTATTGTTGGCAACTTCTTCGTCATTGCTGTCGTCTTCAGATCGCCAAGAATGAGAACCGTGACGAATTTCTTCATTGTCAACCTGGCTATTGCTGATATACTTGTCATCGTGTTTTGTTTACCTGCTACGCTCATGTCAAACATTTTTGTTCGTAAGTATTACCAAGAATATTAATTTAAAAATATGTAGGCAACCAAATATTCAATTTGTATAATTCTGCTAGTGTAAGTTGAATAAATCAGATAACACCCTCGGAAAGGACAACGTTTCGTTTATGCACGCGCAAAAAACAAACGCGGATCCGCCGCATGATTCGAACAATGCGCTAAACAAAATTCATTAATACGGCCTGGATGTCTGCCAGAGAGTCAGCGGCGGCGGCGGCGTCGGTTTCGACAACATTCGAATGTTGGCGGCGTTGCGCTATGGTAACACATTATGTAAGTGTACAATATAATGGTGCAGTCTAACCTTGGCCTCTGTACCAACGTAATGATTTACTCGCCGAGGGCCGGCAGGGTAGGTGGGGGCAGAACCGAACGGCTCATTATTGCCGCGCGCGGAATCTGTTTATCTGAAAATCATTAAATCTTCCACTTCCGCGTTACGCCCGCCACGACGACAACTCGGGTGCTCACAGGCGGCAAGGGGCGGCGATTGAAGCGTTTCTATGCTGATGATGGCTCGCTATTAGCTTGTATTAATGCAAATTTATCACTCAAGCTTTGAGTGAAGCTAAAATACACCGAATGTTACCATAACCAATGAAAAAACAGGCAAAAATTAAACCTAACCTAAAATATTAACTTTTATCATGGCGGTATACATTTCGGACGAATTAATTTACTAATACCACGCTCAATCTGTTGCTCATCCAATCCAATCAATTAGATGAGACTCGAATTTACGACGATGGATTAATACTACTATTACAGTCACATGCATTTTATGTCATGCTGCAACTGATTCCTCTCAGCAACAAACAAACAAACAAATTTACCAATAATTGACCATGACCGCAAGATTTACATTTTGACATGTGTATTGTACCAATTAGATCCAATTTCTTGTTTTCACCAAAAGTCAAAATATATCCAGAATAATATCAACACAAATTGAGTTGAAAAGTTTTATTAATGAAATGTGAGATGTGAGATGAAACCATTTGGAATTGATGGAATTGAATTTGTTGTATTGATATCGATTGCACCCTAATCACATTTCCACTGCGATTGACGTTTATGAGGGTTATACGGGTGAAGGTAATAAAATCATCCACAATCTAACCAATCAACAAGAAATCATAACCTCATAAACACACAAACTAGCTTTATTAGCTTATGCAACCAAGTTTGCTTTTTATTTTCAAACAAAATTAGAATATTGAACTTTAAATCGTGTTATTGGGGTGAAGGAAGAATGAACCACTTCTCGGGGTGACCATAACCTGCCCCATTTCGTTGTACTATGCTTGATTCGATCCCAGGCGTGTTTACAAAGCGTCCGCGGAAAATTCCTGTCATAAACAAAATGATATGTATTTGGTTCAAGCGATAAAAGCAGAATGTGCTCAGTAATATGAAACCGTCGATGATTTTACGATGCCGATGAGTTAATGATATGAATATGCTGCGATAGACAGGCGAATACTTCCGGAAACGCTTGGTATATATAAAGATTGTGAGTTGGGTTGCTGCTTTGCTGGCTATTACGGCGTAACGCGACTCGTTCCCCTCTCTCGAGGAGGCGAGGAGATTAAGCCGAAAGCGCGCAGCGGACCGCACGCCGATTTCGAAATCATGCAACAACAATCCGAGAGGGTCGAAAATAAATTTCGCTCCAAATCGCTTTAAGTCCTTGGGCACGACTAACTCCGCCACTAGTAGAGAAGCCCTCACGTACGTACGATCGCCACACTCAACACAAAATGACCAAAACGCGGAGAAGAACAATACAGAAGCGAGAAAAGCGAAGATGGCGAAGAACAATGAAGCGAATGGAAGGCAAACTGTGTGTAATAGTTTTACGTGTTTATTTGCGATTCCCGAGCGCAGAAAAAGATCCGTTACTTCTTTTTTTGTCGACGGTGTCGCCGAGTGTGTCGAGTATTCTGCGCGTTTTTTGTTCGTCGTGCTTATGCAAGTTCGTATTTCAAGTTTCGAGCATGCGTTTGTATAGCGCTTTGAGTTTGGTGTGACGGCCATGAAAGTTTCACCGCAAAATGGATAATTTGCCAAATGCAGTTTAAGGACGACAATTTTAAAAGCTTTCAGCTTAAAGCTGGCTTATAACTGCATTTTACAAACACTCACAAGCTCTTTCAGCATTTGCCAGCTGAAATCATTCTGCAACAGTAAGCTATAAATTTATTCGAGGAAAAAAATCCGATGATATGAAACATATTATTTTCGAAATTCAAAAATGTTGTGTTATGAATTTTGTCAGAACTAGTTCAAATAAATATGAGACTGGATGGCAAAAAGCGTAGTCAGTAAATATTTAAAATGCACATCGTTTCGTTTCGATTTGTTTGGAATTGATCGAGTTTGTACTCGATACAAACGGTAATCAACAACTAAATAAAAGTTTTGCCCTCATTTCTACAATTTAACCTCTTTTTGCTTTATTCATATTCAAACAATATTAGACATTTTAATTTTGGAAAATTTTGTCTTTTTCTTTAATAAATCTTATCTAAATCAAATTTGACGATGTCAAAAACTCAACCTTGACTAACCTAAAATTTCGTATTTCTTTATACATCATTGTCTAATTTCTTCAATTTAACTTATTACAACTGTAATCATATTCAAATTATATTAGAGATTTGAATTTTCTCCACTTTTTCAATAAATATAACCTTAAATTATTTATTAACAAAGTTTTATCAGATACATGGTTTGACAGCTGTCAAACGATGATGTCAAAAACTTAACCTTCTTTAACCTAAAATTCTCTTCTATTTCTAATCAGTTAAGTTTTTCTTCATAAATTATAACCATATTTCTTCAATTTTAGCTCTTTTAGATTTATTTATACTCAAACTTCATTAGAAATTTAAATTTCCTAAAATTTTATTTCTTTTTTCAATGAATATCATCATAAATTAAATATCAACAAAATTTTTCTCAAAATGACATTTTTTGACAGCTGTCAATTATTAAATGTCAGAAATGTAACCTTTTTAACCTAAAATTTTGTTCAATTCCTAATCTATTGTTTCTTTATACGTGGATAGAGGATAAATTGATTTATTGTGATTATTGAGCCATTGATGGCCACGTTTATTTGCGGTTAGAGACAAATAGCGCAAAACCGATTGTCCAATTAGAAATGCTTGCATTGTTGCAGCCCAGCATTGAAGCTGGGTCAGACCGGCAGCCCGGCAAAAGTCCGCCACGCTGAGGGTTGTAATCAGGTCGCGCACCCCGTCAGGTCACAACGCCGGCGTGTTCTGCACCAGGAGGTCGCCGTAGGGATTATCATTCCATATATACACCGGCAACAACTTGTAACTGCGACATCTTTGTTTTTCCTAAATTCTATCCACTAACTCAATTATTCAGGCATATTTATCACTTTGCAATGGTAATTTCTCACGTTTTATCAGCATTTTAAATTGATTTATACGAAAATAAAAATCAGGACGAGTTTGTTGAAAAAACCTTGGAATTTTACGGTTATTGTTCGTTTGCTTTTTTATTACAAGTGAAAATTACTGTGACTAAGTGAGGATTTAATTATCTAAAACAAAAAATCCAACAGACGCAAATCCGAGCGCATTAAATTCTTTATTTCTGGCAAACGAAAAGCGTTCGTGTTGTTTGCGCGGGTTGAAGATGGATGAATCTTGGCCTTCGTCCGAAATCTTCAAACAGTAATCCGTTGATCCAGTCCCGGTTGAGTAGCGGCAAAAAATAAATAAAAGCAAACAAAATAGGCTGGAATTAGTGTTGCAACATTGTCTCGCCGTCAGTTTACGATCCAAATAATTAGATTATCCCTCAATTTTTTTTCCATAAATTAGTTACATATAAATAAAAATATATTTTAATATTTTTTATCTATAATATAAAAATGAATCGCAAAATCTGTTGGTAAGCGCATAACTCAACAACGCCCAGACCAATTTGGCCAATTATTTTTTTTAAATGTTTGCTATAGTCCAAGAATGGTTTTTACGATAAGAAAATATTGAATAATTACCGGGAAAACCCTAAAGACAGCCCTTTTCTATAGAATATAAGTTGGCATTGAGATTCAATCATAGTTATAGTTAAATAGTTGAATCCCAGATGACGCGCTGAAGTGCATTATTAGCTATTCTTTATATAATTCATTTCTTTAAAATAAAATTGTGAATCTTATTGATAGAATTGACAAATGCAATGTCTAGAACAAGAGAGTAAAAACAAATTACATATTTATTAAACACTACCGGGATAAAGCCGCGGTCAAAAGTTAGTTTTAAAAAGAAAATTTTTATTTATTTTAATTTTAAGTAAATTTATCTTTCTTGATTTTTTTATTAAGACGTTTTTTATGCCTAAGATAAAAAGATAAAATGTCATCGTAATACGCACGGTGTCACAGCTTGAGCCCGAAGTCGATGAGCGATCGAAGTCGTGGATTAGGAAGTCGCCGGCGAAGATCCACCTCCGAAGGATATCAAGCACTACTGACCCAGTAAAAGTCTTGAACTTAGGCCACCTGGCCGACTGGCTTGACACACATACGGCGACCACGCGGCGGCATATTGACCAGGTCGCCGCCGCCTAGGCAAATGTCGTGCGTCGATTCGAATGTGACGAGCCGGCATCGTGATAAGCGGCCCGCCGTAAGACGCGCGCTGGCCTAGTTTGGGCCGAAAAGCGGGCTGCGATTTAATATTTATGCCGGGGCGGGCAGCGAGAGGCGGCCGGTCGAAAAGATTCGCACTCACCTGTGGGGGTCGATAAATAACGCGCGCGCTCGCTCATTCCGACGTGTGCCATTTTTTATGCGCGCTGCGTCCTCGCTGAATAAATCATGCGTATGGCTTCATGGAATCATGGAATCGGGCTTTAAGCGGCCCACTTCATCACATCGATGCGCATCCACATCACTAAACTTATTAATTTTATTATTATGGATGATCAAGTGGAAGGAAAC